AACAGCGAGCGTAGGAAGAGCATGGGATGTTTAGAATTATGAAAGAGAAGAAAGAGAGGGCAGGAGGAATGAGGAGGGCAGGAAAGATAGTGAGACGGAGCTGTTCCGTAGAAGCAAATTAATATCGAGGTCGCCGGAATTAGGGAACAAAAGTTAGGGAACAAAAAGGGAGCAAAATGGGGATTATTGATGAGGTGGATGGGAGATTTTAAAGATAAACGGGAGAGGGTGGAAAAAAATTTAGATGATATAAAGAAGGAACTAGGCAACATAAGAAGAAGGGAAGAAGAATGAAGAGAGAAATCAGATAGGATGAAAAAAAGGTTGGAGGAATTGGAAATTAAATGGGATAAAAGAGAGACTGAAGGGGAAGGAGAGAAGAGATTGGAGGAAATAGAGGAGAGGGTTGAAGCTTTGAAGGGGAAGAGGAGAGAAATGGGGGAAGCGAATATCATGGGAATAGCTAAAAAGTTAGAAGAGAAGATGAGAGCAATGGAGAGGAAATAAAAGAAAGACAGGAGAAGAAAAGGAATGTAATATTAAAGGAGTTATCGATAAAAAAGGAGGATATTAAGAGCAAGGTGGAGAGGATGATTGGTAAAATTGGAGTAAGGATAGAGTGGGGATACGGGAAATTAAAGAAGAATCAGAAGAGCGAGGAAGGATGGCGGTGGTGAGATCAGAAGGAGAGAAAAGGAGAACTATGGAGAAGAAAAAAGATCGGAAATAAGATAAGAGATGGATTGTAGATAACCTGATGTGGAAGGAAAGGAAGGAAAAATGGCATATCGCGGAAATCGCAAAGGAAGAGGAAAGATGGGGGAAGAGTGCGAGTAGGAAATGGAATGTTAATTTTGAATGAGGACTACCTCATTCAATCTTTGGTATGGTTGTAGGATGAGGACGAAGTTTCTAAAGAATAGTAAAAGAAATTGAAGGGAGAGAATCGAGGGGATGGGGTTTCCGTAGAGATAAGGGAATAGGCGGACGGAAGAGCAGAGGGAGACGAAGAAGAAGAGGAGAGAGCGGGAAGGGAGGAGGAGGGCTGAGAGAAGGGAGGGGACACAAAAGTGGAAAAGATGCAATGCTAAGAGGAATGGAGAACGGGAGAGTGGGAGATATGGGAAAGGAAGAATGGACATGTAAGTTGGCGTTTTGGAATGTGGCAGGATTGGCGAACAAGAACAATGATTTCTGGAAGGGATTGGAAAAATGGGATGTGATGATGCTGATGGCACATGGGTGGAAAAAGGATGAGAAAGATTGAATGGAAGGCTGCCGAAGAACTATGTATGGGAAGTGCAGTTGGCCGAGCGGAAGAATAAAAAGGAAATGTAGCAGGGGGGAATGGTAGCAGGGATAAGGAAGAGAAAATTGAGATGGAGAAAAGAGAGGCAGGAGCGAAAATGGAAGCAGTGATAGTCAGGATGATAAATTTGTTAGAGAAGAAGTGGAGGGTGGTCGGGGTATATGTAAATGGGGACATAGAGAAAAAAATGGAAGAAGTTGAGAGGTTGGGGGGGAAAACAAAGAAAATGGAATCTGTACAATTATAGGAGGGGATTTTACTGCAAGGACGGGAGAAACAGGAAGTTGGTGGGAAACGAAGAAAGAGCAAGGAGAAGAGAGAGATAAGAGAGCGTGGGGGTTTGAGATGAGGCTGGTTGAGATGAGGGAAGGGGAAGCAAGATAGCGAGAATGTGTTGGGAAGAAAAGAGGGAAAGAGCGATGAGAGGAGGAAAATTACCGGTATGGGAGAGGGAGAGACAAGAATTCTGTAAGAAGAGAGGGGTGGAATTGGAGGAGATGGAGAGATAAAGGGAGAGTGGACAGATAGAATTTTCTAAGCTGGAGAGAGTAGATAGCAATAAACAAAGAAAGGAAAGGTGGGAAAAGTTTTTTAATTTGAAGTATAATAGATGGTATAAAAGAGTTAAGAGAGAAGGGATTCCGGATTGTTTGAAGAAGGATTGGGCGGAAAGGAGATGAATGAGAGTGGCAAGATTGGGAAGGGGAGTAAGGAAAGAAGAATACTGGAAAAAGATGAAAAAAAGCTGTGTAGAGTGTGTGAGTTAGAAGTGAAATCGTAGGAGCACGTTTGGGAAGGATGTGCGAAAGTGGGGTGCGGAGGGAACATGGCAGGGGAAAGTGGAAGAAGTTTTGGGGGAGAATGGAGAGGAAGAAGAATGGATAAGGAGATTAGAGTTAGGACGTGTGAAGAAGAGGTAGTAAGGGAAAGAGGGGGGTGAAAGAGACGGAGAGGTGGGAGAGAAAGAGTGAGAAGTCCAGAGAGAGGGCGGAGAGAGATAGAGGGAGGGGGGGGAGAAGGGAACTGCCAATGAGATGATACTTAAATGACGGAAAATGTTTGAAATGTCGGGAGAGGAATAGTATCAAATAAAAAGATTTGCTGCGAAAACGGAAGTCCGTGCGATGCATGGGTTAGATTAAATTAAGATTAGGATTAGATTTAAATTAGGGAATAAGGTAGGATAAGCGAAATTGTTAAGAGCGGTATAATTTGTAAATTGTATCCCCGAAAGAATCAATAATTATATATATATATATATATATATATATATATATATATAGATAAAAACCTATAAATCCGAGTATAGACCGAAATCGTGATCTCAGAGCCGCACCGTCTACTCACGATCAGCGCACCAAATTTCGATAGGATCGAGGTTTACGATCGTCGTTGCTAGGCAATCGCATCCGCGACAATTCGCGATTGCCTCATTAATCATCGAAAAAACTTGCGGATATAATTTGTAAACTCGCGTTCCGACAGATACCGCCTTCTGGCGATTCCGTCACCTTGCGAACGCCGATTTCAGGTATACGCGCTGTGTCCCCACGTCGGTGTAGATTTCACATAACAGCCTCGATTAATAACATCAACAATAAACATTGTCAAGTTATTATTTTTTTTCTTTGTTATATTATTTCTTCTGATTTATAATAAATTTCATTTATTATTGTTACATATAAATAATTCTCAGTAATTATTATATTAATTATAATAGTAATTATTATTATTTTAATTAACTGTGCGGCCGGCGAGCTATTTCGCTTTCGAAATACAACACACCCGATTTCGGACGGGGAAAACTAGTCTGTTTTACGTTTCCATCTAGAAAAAAGAACAATATGACTAAAATACGTTCTCCTCGAAATCGTTCCATTTTTATGAAATATTTTTTTTGTGTCATTAAAAATTTCCGAAATATCAAGTTATAATGAATTATATAGGTCACTGTATATATAAAAAGACAAGTATATTATATGTTTTATATATATTTTTTGATATGCATATGCATGCGCAATGACTTATTTATTCAATGAACTTTATAAAAATTCTTTGAATAGATATTTAAAATTTATTAAAGAAGTATATATAATTGATAAAAATCAATCATAATATAGTAATATCAATTGTAATAGTAGTATGTTCTCTAATTTTTAAATTAATATAACACGTTATAATATAGAATGTCTCATTTTAATTAATCCAGCAAAATATCTCGAAAACTAAACTTGATAGGAAAAAATTATATAGTTTAGAGGAATAAAATAATGATAAAATCAATTTTCACAAAATTATTTTTGTCCAAATCACATGAAGATCATCGTTTTATTTTCAAATGCAATTATGTAATATGAGTGTATTCTACATGTAAAAATTAGATACCAGCTCTGTGTATGTGTGCGTGCGTGCGTACGTACGTACAAGGGCATCCTAAAAAAATCAAGATTAGAATATCTCCAAAAATATAAATTTTACAGAAAAATATTTCGGATAAAAGTTATAGAAGATTTAAAGAGATCTATTTACTGACCTTATCAGTTTGACCTTGAGTTGGACGTTGGGTTACATGGAGGTCAATTTTTTTTTATTGGAAACTCTTATTTTGATATATTCTTATAACTGACCTCGAGAGTTCTTCAAAACATTATAATAAGATATTTTTTTAATAAGTGCTTTTTATGTTATGAAGCTTAAATTTAATAGGCAATTTGATTAATGTAAAATATCTCATAAATTATTCATTTTTTGGCAACTTTATCTTAATACTTTTATACACAAAATAATGAGATGAATCAATTGGTGTAAAAAAAAATAATTGCTATTTTAAAAAATGGAGATTTGCAATATGCAACGACGTATCTTTTTTGAAAAATAACTGTATATTTAAACAAAATCTTCGCTGACGATAGATAGCGGGGAAAGATTTGGTCAAGTAATCAGCTTGATCGCAAGACCTCTCACCCCTCGATTATTTTTATGGGGCTATCTGAAGAAAGTTTATACAACAAACCACGAACTGTATTTGATTTACGTTATCGAATTCTTGATGAAGCTACGCTTATTTCCATGGATTATATTAGAAACGCTATTTCAGGATTTTACAATCGACTTACACATTGTCAAAATGCTACTTTTATTCGAAATATTTTTCTGTTAAAACTTATATTGAAAATTTTATTTATTCAAAATTAATTAGATCATTTTTTGTTTCAGACAATGCAATTTTTGTCAGAAATATTTTGTCTGCCAGACTCACTTTTTGAAATATTCGGAACTGTTTAAAATAGAACATCCTTTATATCATTATATTATACACTATGCATGATCTTGATTGAATGCATGATTGAATTAAATTTTATTGATGTGAACTTGATAATATGTATTTTTACAGTGTCCACACAACTATGCAATACAATTGCGGATGAACTTACACGAACTGCAGACAACGTTGTTCAACTGTATAAACGTTTAACAATTGATAACGATGGTGACCCTTCTAGAGAAACAATCGACCGAGATACAATGCTACGTGGTTTGGAATCATCTGTTAACGAAACTATGCGTACTCTACGATTGGTTGTTGCTGGTAGTGAAAATTGTGATGACAGAAGTAGCGAAAGCGTTGTTACTAATGAAGCGACGATGAAATTTCAAGAATTACTCGCTGGTCAAGATCAAAGTAAAGTAGTCAATATGATGCAACAGTATTCTGAGTTGCTTCTAACCATGATGCAACAAAGGATGGGAGGGACTCAATAAAGTCACATATAAAATCCGTCCATCTGAGAATTAATAAAAGAAATATTATTGTCATTGTGTATTTAATATATCGACGACATATTTACAAAATAATACCAAGAATATATCTTGTAGTAATCTATTTCCAAAACATTATATAATTGATAACTCTTCTTTTTATTTGAGAATTTAAATGTATTTTGCTTTATAAAAATGAAGGGAATGTGTTTCCGCACATAAAACCTATTCATAAAGCTGCACAAGAGATTTTCTCTTTTTACTAACGGTGGATTATATTAATTTTTATAATTAAGCGTTAAATTTGGCAATATATAAATTAATAATACTAAATGTAACATTAAATATTATTGAAATTATTGCTTTTATATCGCATGATGTTAAGTATAAGTGTTATTCTTAATTATTAATATACATAACGAAAGTAGATTAGTCACTAAGACAAATCGCGAAATGGATAAATAAGAACGTAAATAATGCACGTGTTTCACAATTAATTAGATAGATATATAGGACCGATTACAACGACCTCATCTATTTGTATTCTGAAGCCATATATCATGAAATGCCAATTAATTAAAGACTAATAGAATAGATTTCAAACAAATATTGATATATCGTGTGAGCGTTATTATAATAACACTAGTACTCTTATTATATAACCAAAGGTTATTTGTATCAGCGGTCTAAAGATATACTTCTTTCTTTGCTATTAAAGCTTTACAGAAAGTTGTAATAAAAAATATACATTATAAAGCTTGCCAGTATAAATTAGAGATTTACATAGTCATTGTATTAAGAATACATTTCTCAAGCCTGCTGATGAGATAGAAAGATTTACCAATATTCGATATTTCAAAATATGAACTATGAAATATGAACTATGAAATCATATTAATTTATTTAGAATTATTAATTTAACATAACTAAATTATATAATTCTTTAATATAAATATCTTCTTTTTTAATAGATCATATTTAATAAAAGTTATAACTTAAAAGTTATAACTAAAGTTATAACTTAATCATATTATCTTATAGTAAATGCATATTCTAACACAGAAATTAATATATTTTTCATATTTTTTCACATGAACATGTTGAAAAATTTTTGCAGTTTTATAAAATCATCAATTTTAAATTATTCTACTCAATTATCAAGTAACATGTCTTACTAAATTTTACAAAAAGATTATATTGAGAGTAATCAAAGTATGTATTCAAAATACATATGATTAATGAGTGTATCATTACTTTTTAATTTGTATGTATTTTGTGTATTTTATTTTAACATAATTACTATTTTTTATCAAAATTCTATTTAATATTATATATAACCAGTGCCATTTAAATTAAAGTGATGGTCATTTAATAACACATTGTGTTTGTGTATTAATTTATCATTTAGAGAAATATTGTTAATCTTTATTATAATTACTTGAATTACATTTTTAATATGTTTATAACAATTGGAAATTAGTTATTGTGAAATTTACTGGATATGTAATGAATGACAATTATTACAATTAATCCGCATACGTGCAACACTTATACATATACTTACACATATACACACGCGCGCGCGTGCGAGAGAGAGAGAGAGAGAGAGAGAGAGAGAGAGAGAGAGAGAGAGAGAGAGAGAGAGAGAGAGAGAGAGAGAGAAGAGAGAGAGAAATAATAAATAAGTAAT